AGGCTTCTAGGATTAGGTAGATGCCTTTGCTCCCCCCCCCCAAGTACGTGGCAGGATTTCACTCAAGGCTGCTCAGTTGCCAACCAGTGAGCGGGTGTGTGTGTGTGTTTCGATCTGTGCAAATGTCTTCGTGACTGTTCCGCGCCCGAGCGCCAAGAAGGGCGTTGGAAACGAGCATCATGGCTTGAACCACCGACTACTCCAAAGGAAGATTTCAGAAGGGAAAAATAACACCGGAGGAAACCTCCTAGTGTTTCCTGCCAGTCCTCACAACAGAACTGGAATGTTGGTCCGGTGCCACAAAAAGTCAGAAGCCTTCGGTGCCAATTTTGAGGTTTTTCACGACCATCTCGCGATAAAACGATTCCCAGCTTCCACACCGGTTCGGAGCCTCCAAACGGCAGGAGAGCTTGCCGGGAACTAGGGTGGAAAGGGAAAAAGCAGGAAGGTTTCCCCGAAAGATAGGTCCAACTCAGGATCCATCCTGCCTTTAGCCTTGACCACCCCTCCTTCCCCATCCACAGCCTCCTCATTTCTGTTTTTCAGCTGGCAGATCTGGGGAACAGCAGGTTCTGCCCTTCTCAAACGGCATCGCTCTGCGCCTCCAGAACAAGGGACCGTGTTTTTTTCCCTCCGTCCTGTGCTGCCATCTAGCGACACATTTCCATTGACGGTTTCTGTTTAAGACATCCTCGTCCGAGCTGTCCGATCCCAGGGCACTCCCAGAAAGATGGACAGGTAAACCACTTCTATGCGCTTTATACCTATGGGAAGGTTCAGCCCGAGTCAGAATCTGCTTGAGGACACATGATTATTCCTGTTCATAGTAGAGGCACAGGAAAAAAAAACTCCGCCTGGCAAAGATTCCTAGTCACCTATCCTCCATTCTTGCTCCGAGGCCTGCGACAGTCAACATATATCCAAAAGCAGCAAAGATATCCATGTTCTCGGGACGCCACCTTGAGCGGGTGAAAGATAACTTTTTTCCCACCAATGTTCTGTGCTGGCTCCTTCAGAACCCGAGGCACCGCGATGCCAAATCAAAGAGCGGCTCTTGGCAAATGTTCTGAATCCGTCCAAATTTGCGCGACGACAAGTGGAGGGGGAAAAAAAACACAACAAATGATCAGGTCGGTAAAAAGGAAAGCAAACTGCTTTGAGGTTTAGGTCCCAGATAACCTGCCCGGGAGAGGCCGATATATATTTTTTTAAAGAAGTCTTTTTTTATATATTTCTTGTTTCGGGATAAAATCCCAGTATCTGTTCTTCAAGCTGCAGAAGAGATCACAGGCCTTGGCTACTGAGTTTGGCCAGCCTCGTTCTCTCATGGCTTGGTTAATTGACTGGGATCAGAGATCTGTAGGAAGAAGAGGAGAAAGAGAGACGGGTTTTAGAAAACACTGAAATGTTCTAATATCATAAAATGAACAATGCAGGAAAACCGCCACCAGAAGATCAGAGAGAAAATCTAGAGGCTGCCTTGGGAGATCGGTGCCTCTCAGCACCTGGAGAAGATCCCTCTCTTTTTGGACCTACAGCTTTCAAATAAAGGGTCGTTTCCTGCAGGGATGGTAGGTTTTCACAAAAGCCAACAGGTTCTGGTGGACTTTTACGGCCATCCACTGCTTACAGCCATCCAGCTGTATTGGCCTTTCATTATCTGGTCGCCTGGGGCGAGAAAAACTGTTCGCCTGATCTGGTGCAACCAGGCAAGGAAATGTTCTGAAACCGGGTGAGCGCTGGGGATCTTTCTACTTAGCCCGTTGTTTATAGTCAAGAGGGTTACCAACATTTCTGTTGGCTAGTGGGGGGGGGGGGAATTATCGGCTCTGTTTCCTGACAATCAGCTGTTGCAAACTACAGGGAGGAGTTTTGAGGGACCAACCTTGTAGAGCGGCCGTATGACTTACTGACAATGTGGGTTGGGACATGCTTCACTTCTTTCCTTTCTACGTATCACTAGGATTCCATTTTGCGGTGCAGAGAGCAGGACTGAGCTTCGGGAGACCTGGATCCAGACTCCCCACCTCAGCTGTGCAACTCCTGGGGCGACCTTTGGTAGTCCCTCTCTCTCAGCCTGACCTACCTCGCAAGGTCGGCGTGAAGACAAGGCAAGGAGGAGAACCACGGAAACGACCCTCCGCTCACCACAGGAAAAGCAGGAATTAAAAGCGGGAGTTCTACAGTTGTTCGGGTAAAGCTCGCATGACTAAGGATGGCTAACTGTGGCTAATTTATGAGACACTGGGGTGCACCTCAATTGTGCAAGCTGAGGCTTGCCACCGAGACACACCGTGGCCCCTCCACAATTAGCTGCTACAAGTTAGGCAACCCCACTAGGATTCTGGCCAAATGTGCATTCCCCCCCCAGCCTCCTTACCCAAGAGGGTCTCTGCCCCACCACTGATCAGGAGGGACAGCAGGTTAAGCAAACGCCCCCTTTCCTGGGGTCCATTTGGGAAATGGCGCTAAGAAAGGAGTTGGCCGTCTGCGTCAGGGCCTCGGAGGGACGGGACGGCTGCGAGAGACGGGCACAGAAGAGGAGGAAGGAGGAGACACACCACCAGCGGATGGACAGAAGACCGACAGGAGGCGAGCAGAGCACAGACAACACAGCCCCAGCTGAACTCCAGAAGACAGAAAGGGGAGTTAACAACGGAAAGCACGCAGCGGCCTTGCATGGGACTGGGGGGGGCGGCGCGAAAACATGTGCACAGAAAGGGTGGAAGCAGGTTAGTCGGGCGGACAGCACGCCGCCCAGTCGGAAGGTTTCAGGCCGTTTCACTCAGGTGATCCCTTACCTTTGCTTTGGACGGATTTTGGAGACCCGGAAGGTTCACTTTCGGAGGCCGCTCTGGAGAGGAAGACAACTTGTACGTACACGTGTGTGTGTGTTTGTTTGTGTGTGTGTGTGTGCGTGCATGAATGCGTGGGCACAAAGAGGGAAAGAGAGAGAGAGAGAGAGAGAGAATGCGTGGGCACAAAGAAGGAAAGAGAGAGAGGAAGGAAGGAAGGTGGTGGGGAAAGTCAGTGAGGCAGGAGAAGAGAGAGAGGAAGGAAGGAAGGAAGGTGGTGGGGAAAGGCAGCGAGGCAGGAAAAGGTCAAAAGACAACAGGTCCAATGCTGGACCAGCAATGGACCTACCTCACAGGGCTGTTGTACTGGGGATAAAGGGGAGGGAGAGAAGAAAGGGGGCTGTGTGTGCCAGTGGGAGGCAAAGGGGAAAATAGGACAGACAGCACAGAAGTCAAACAATGGCTTGTTGTGTAGAGGACTAACGACGGCCCTGGAAAGGAAATTTCAACGGGACTGAACCCGTCACGATCCATAGCGAAGCGCAGGTTCCCTCCTCCCTGTCGGCTGCTTCCAGGGCGATGGAGAGCCAACAGGGACATGCAACTCAGAACACAAGCAGCTCTCGCAGTTCGAGTGACGAATACGGGCGGCCCTTCTGTTTTCCCAAATTTTGCAACACGACACGGACATCAGAGGCAAATGCAGGGGTGGGGGGGGAGAGAGAGCAAAACCAGAGAGCGAGAGAAAACAGGCAGACAGAGACAGATCGATAAAGCAAGAGCGCTCCCACAGAACGCACGACTGTTGGGAAAGCCAGACGAAACTCAGGTTTATTTTTGTCGTTTCCGGGCATGATCGGTCACACGAGGAAAGAGAAGGCATTTGGGACCTGCTTAGGAAGCAGTCTGGTGTGATTTATTTCCTTGTGATCCCATGAAGCATGGGGACTGAAGGCACTCCAGCCCAAACCCGATCCGTGGCCAAACCGTAAGGGGACTGCTTTTTTGGGGGGCCAGAGTGAAGACACCTGGGAGGCGTCTTGTTGCTGAGCGGATGGGCTGCGAACCCATCTACCTGCCGCTTGGAGGAAGCTTGGGAGCTAACCGTATAGACCAGCCCTTCGGCTGATCCTTCAAACCCATCAGCGATCAATAAATTATACCGCGTGCGATCGGGTCTTCGGAAAACAAGCACATTTAATACAGAGGCATCCAAGTCTCACAGTCCTTCCAAAACCTCAGTCCACTCCCAAAACCCTCCTTTGGAATGGAAGAAGTTGTGCTATCCCCGCCTGGTCTGAAAAGCAGGAGCTGTCCAGGTTTGGGCCCAGAGTAAATGCCCCCCCCAGCACCTCTCATCTGACCCTCTCAACTGGAAATACCATGCCGTGAACCTATAACCTGCTGCGCTAAAATCAGAGGCTCAATCTGTGAACCTTGACGAAGTTTCTAGTCCTCATGACGCTCGAGAAAATGGTGATATAAATACAGGTCCTCAATTTGGGCTCGCCTGTTAACTCAGCTTCTCAGGACACAAAAGGTGGAAGGTATAGGACTGGAGAGCAGGGGCTTATATCATTCGAGGCCAGAAACGAGTCTGAGAGGTTGGATATCCCTGGTTGGGAAAACTGACTTTGGAGGACTACAAGGCACAGAATCCCCCAGCCGGCATGTCACAAAGCAAACAAGGCGACCGAGCACGTTGGGTGGAAGAGAGCGGCAAGGCGGTACGAACAAGGGCGGACGGACCTGCTTTTCAAGCACATGGACAACAAAACCCAGGACAGAGAAATAGATAGACACACAGTTCCACACGCAGTGTGTGTGTGTGTGTGTGTGTGCATAGCTAGGAAGTGGGAGGAAGACTGAGGCATGGAGCTTCCCCACCCCTCTGGGGGTCTGAAAAGAGCCACAGGCCCCGTGGGGAGAACAGAACGGATGCATGGAGAAGCTGGCCCCAGCACCCACCTGCTGGTCCCTCCTAGGGCCTCCTCCAGCTCCTTCTGCAGCTGGGCGCTCTTCTCCTCCTCCTCAAGGAGGCGCCGCTTGACGGCACGCAGCTCCTGCTGGGCCTCGCACTTGATGTCGTTGGCCACCACGACGGCGGTCTGGAGGTCGGCTTGGAAACGGCGCCACTCCTCCGTGTCTTCCTAGGGGGAAAGGAAACAAGGGGGGAGCTGCACCAGAAATACTTGCAAGTCCCCTGGGGGGGGTTCCTTTCGAGGGACAGGCGGACGGGAGAAACAGACAAACAGACAGACAGACACACCACTGCCATCCTTATCATCCTAGAACAGGGGTCTCCAAAGTATGGCCCGCGGGCCGCATCTGGCCCGTATGGAGTTTTTATCCAGCCCATCTGTCCGTGCGTGCAGGCACACAGGTGCAGGCGGCGTTGTGTGAGTGCAATTGAGTAGGAGTGTGTGTGCATGTGTCTGCAGGCCGGCAAGCATGTGGGTGGGTTATTCCAATTTTCATTTTTTTTTAATTCATGCAAACTCTGGCCTCTGTTGACGAACGACCCCAAACATGGCCAGCGTCTCACCTTGATCTGCCTGTTCAGGAGTTTCAGCTGCCTTTCCAAGTCTGCTTTCTGTTCCTCCAGTTTCATCAGAGTATCTGGGAACGGTCAAGGAAAGGAGAGTTATTTTTGAGACGGAAACGCCGCGATAGATAAACCCAGGGCTCGGGCAGAAAACAGAGGAGTTGACGAAGAGAGAAGAGGAGGGCAGTAAACGCGGTGCCAAAAAATTTCATTTCAGATCCGAAGCCCAAATTTTGTAAAAGCATCACTGTTAGTCCAAAGAAAGAACAGCACGTTTGCTGCACAGCCAGAGGGTGGGGAAGTCAGCAAAGCCCAACACGACATCATGCCCCGATTCAGCCAGCAGAGGGCAGCCTTGCGTTCCCATAGGGCACTGTGGGGGCCCCGATTCAGAAAGCTATCACCACATTCTTTCCTACAAAGTGTCCCCCCCCCCCAATTCCAGTGGCCAGTTCTGGTAACCTTGACTTTAGAAATATATATTTCTAGGATTTCTTGTTTAATATTTTCAGACCGTCAATAAGTGAATCAACGGGTGCTGATCCCACAGATAAGTGGGTCCTTCTATCCAAATACGGGGAGACATGTACAAAGCAAAAGGGAGATCCCTCTATATTTTAGGCCTCTGCACCAGCTAGAAAACTTCGCGGCGGCTCCTCTTCCTTCCACTCACCCTCCAAGTCACGGATGAGTTGGTTGTCGTGCAGTTTGACGGCCCGGTGTTGCTCCACCTGGTCTTCCAGTTCAAAGATGGTCTCCTTGAGATTCTTGATCTCCGTTTCGTTCTCCGACGTTTTCTCCTGCAGCTGGAGGTTCGTGTGGTTTAATTGCTCGGCCTGCCGGTCGCTGGTCTCCTTCAGCTGGCCGTGTTCCTTCTCAACCTGAGAAAAGGGAACGGAGACAAAAGAAAAATGGCGAAATGAATTGCGCCGTAAATAAACCATCAACACTGTCTTTGGACCGATGCTTCCCAGCCTATCCTCCCATTATAGCCTGGAACGATGAGATAAGAGTTGGCCATGGGAGGGGGCCTCTGACGGCCACAGAAAGATCGAATGAATGAATGTGATGGAAAGCTCACAGAATGAATGAATGAATGATCTTTCTGTGGCCGCCGGAGGCCCCTTCCCACGGCCACTCACGGAGCTCCCGAGCATAAATCGAAGGAACCACAACTGATCTAGTCCCAGAATATTCAGTTTCCTACCAGATTCCTCTTGTCTCAGGATTTGCATGATTTGGAAAAATAAAATCAATAAAATAAACTTGAATTATGTAGTTTTTAAAAATAACAATGACCCTGAAGATTGTGTTAAATGTTCCTCTCCGGACTTTTAAAAATTTGCTGAAATGTTTAGGCGCGAGGTTTCCCACTTCTGATACAATGATGGAAGGAGGCAGGGTTGAAAAGGGAAGGCCGGGGCTTTCTGTTTTCCTCAACAGGGGCTTAAAAATGTGATTTCCGGCCACTTATTCCTACAGGCTGAAAGAAACAGCTATGGAAATGTGCCTTTTCTTATAGTTATAATGTTTCCCTCCAATGATGTAATCATGCTTTGTTATGCTTGTCCTGCTAATCAAAGATGCAAAGGTATTTAATATTCCAGTGATTAATCACGCCTCTGCTTTTAATGTGTTCTCACAATCAGATCTCTTTTACTGCCTAAGGAGCACCGCTTCTAGCTAGGGGATCAGCACCTTGCTTAGTCTGGCTCCACACCTTCTCCTGAACCCAGTGGCCCAGATGCTGTTGGAAGTCCTTGATGAAAACTGTTCAGCCCTGCCTCCTGAGTCCCAAAGACAGGAGAAGAAACACACTCCACGAGATTATAAGGCCTTACCTTGGCTAGCTGTCGCTGCACACTTTTCACCTCGCTGTGCGCCTTCAACAACTCCTGCTTCAGCTCCGTGCAAGTGCGTTCCAACTGGTCCCTCTCAGCCTGGGCCCCCTTCAGCATCTCCTGGAAGTCCGAGTGGCTCGGGGGGTGGCCGCTCGCGGGGTCCATGGCCGCCGCTTTCTGCCTCTCGCTCTCCAGCTGGGACCGGAGCGAACTGTTCTCGATCTTCAGGCCTTCCAAGGCGACCTTGCAGTCCTCCAAGGTCTTGGCCAAGGTGGCCCCGCTCTGCCGCTCCGCCTCGAGCAGGGCTCCCAGCCGGGCGTTCTCGTCTTTCAGGCTCTTGGCGGTGGCCTGGACCCCCTGGTGTTCCTTCTCCAGGCTCCGAAGGCTGCTGGTCAGCTGCTGCTGGATGTTGAGCATCTTCTCCCTCTCGAACCGGGCCTTCTCCTGCAGCTCGGCGCACTTCTGCTCCAGCTCCCCGAGCTTGGCTTTGCTCTCCTCGGCATCGCCGTTCTCGGGCCGCGCGTCCAGCCGGGCCAGCAGCTTCTCGTTCTCCTGGCTGAGCTTCTCGGCCCGCTCCCGGTGCTGGCTGAAGGAGTTCTCCAAGAGGGCCTTCTCTTCCGTCAACTTCTCGTTCTCCGCCGTCAGCTCCTGGACCATCTGCTGCTGGTCCGAGAGCTCCTGGAGGGTGGCCTGCAGCTCTTCGGCCGTGCAGTGGTGGTTCTCCTCCATCCGCTGGATCCGCTCCGTCAGGGAGGCCACCGAGAGGTCGCTGGCGTTGTTCGGGGAGCTGCCCGAGGGGGAGCAGCGGGAGGTCTGGAAGGGGTGGCCGTTGGCCGACGGTGGCCTCGACGGCACGTCCGTAATGTGCTCGAAGTCCGAGGCATCGGGCGAGAGGGAGGCTTTGGTCACGTCGCTGCTGGACGACCCCGAGTTCCGTAACGGGGGCCCATTCAGGCACGGGGGGCCTCCGTCGTCCGGCAAGGGTCGGGTCGGGCTTCCAAAGCTGGAGTCTTGCGTGGTGGGCGTCAGGAAGCTGCCCTGCCCGCCGCGGCTGCTCGAGGTGTCCGACAGCGGGGAAGGATCCGGGTGGCTCAGTTTCTCTTTCAACTGCCGGTTCTCTTCTCCGAGATTCAAAAGCTCCTGCTGGAAATGCCGGTTCTTCTCCTGCAGGGCCCGGATCAGCGCCTCCCCCTCGGCCGGCAGAGGGTCCGGATTCCGGTCCAGCCACCCATCAAGGTCGCCACGGGCCGGCCCCTGGCCTTGCCTCTTCTTCAGCTCGTTCCGGAGCTTGGCGATCTCCGAGTCTTTCGTCTTGGCCTCGGCCACCAGCTCCCTGACCCGGGACTCCAGGGCCGCCTGGTCGACCCCGTCCGCCTCATGCTTGGACTTGAGGGCCGGGCGCGAGTGCTTGGTGGGGGTCGGAGTCCCGGACGAGGTCGGGCTGGGTTGGGCTCTCCGGGGGCGCAGGACAGCCTTCTCTCGGGCGACGGAGGTGGGCAGCTCTCGAGGGGCTGGGATTCCGGTCCGCTTGGAGGACGGGACGGGACCTGGGAAGGGAGGAAGAGAATTAGGGCATTCATGGACTTATGGGGCTTCCTCCTCCTTTAGAGCGGCTGTGGAGTCTGCATCATCTTCTTAAATAGAAGTGGGCAAAATGCAGGCTGATGCCCCCTCTGCAATTATCTAATACTGTCTGAGTCATTCAAAGCTTCAGGCTCTGCCTCTCCACAATTTCAATCTCGCAGACATTCCACCAGGGGGACAAACTTAAGCACCTCTGTCTAAGTTGTCTTGTTTTCCTCTTCCCTCCTCATTGCCTTTTCCTTTTATGTCGTAACTCCACCCCACCTTTTTTTTTTACATAATTCTCCTCTGAGCAGGAATTGTCTTTCATGGATGTGAAAGCCACATAGGACTTTCTAGTTGCCACATCAAGATGCAGAAAGGCTACAAAGAGAGGCAGAAATCAATGGCCACCCCCTAAATTAAGCACTCCACAAGGGAAAAAATCCAGGGTTACAATGTCAACCCGAATGACCTCAGAAAGAGGTGGCACAGTTTATTTTAATCACACACGCAGCAGCATCGGAAAAAGTCACTTCGTTGCACATCCGAACCTAAATTCCTTAAAGGAACCAGTTTCTGCTTTTTTATTTTTTCTTTAAAAAGAGACAAATGCAAGACAGCCAGAGAGGGCCAGAAATTAAGTCATTTGCATTTAAATGAATGATGGCTGAGTACTTCTATAGAGGACAAAGAGCAAGTGCCGGAAGAGTAGTTATCAGAGTTCTTACTTTTCAAAAAAGAACCGAGGGCCATCTACTGTATCAATTTTATAATGACATGTATTTTCTTGAACAGAATGGTCTGCTTTATCTCCTGAATGGGTTTTATTTTAGGCTGGACCAAGGACTTTTATGAAAAGGAATCAATCTTCTAGTCCTCTGCATGGTTAGGAGGTGCTCAAATGCCTCCCTCCATCTTGGGGACCTGATTAATTTTAATCGGTTTTAATCGAGACAAGGTCGGAAACCGGCCTCTTGCTTCCCTCCCAAGGAAAACCAAAATTTCAGAAGTCATAAATGACAATCCACATTGCCATGTGGGCAGAAATACTGTAAATAGAAACTAAGACACTCCCCCCAGCTTGGAAAGCCTCCTTTCTTTATTCAGGTTTTTTTTCTTTTTTAATTTATGAAGCTCCCGGTGGTGCATGCTTTTCGCCAAAGGCTCCCCCCCCCCGTGCTATGCAAGACAGGGACTCATAGGAAATGTAGTCCGAAATCAAAGGGACGTTTTGACCGCCTCCGTCAAAACCTTCAAGATGGGGGAAGGAGGAAGGGTTTGGAGTTTTGTTTTGCTTGGTTTTTTTTTTAATGGAAGGACGGCCAGGCTCTTGTGTTGTGTTGCAGGGAGAATAAAAGGCCACGGACAAAAGGGGCTCTGTTTGGCGAGGGGGAGAAAAGATACAGAAGGCATTCACTCCGGATCCGGTGCCAGCAACCCACGCAGGCACACCCCGGCCGCCCTCTGGCAGCTGCAGCTGGCGGCACCGGGAGGCAGCCACAGCAGCATCATCATCATCACCGCCCCCCTCCCCATGGATTTCTCTGCCCTTCCAGCAAACCCACGGCTCATGCTTTGGGGGGGGGGAATGCATTCAAAAAAGAGCAGACAGCCCTAGGTCACCCCCACCCACCCCTAAGCCAGTTTCATGGTGTGCCCGGGTGAGATTTCAATCCAGGCTTTTCCCGCTTCCAAGAGTGGGGAAATAGGTGTCCCATCTGCTGATGCTGGACTACAACTCCCATCTGTCCTGATCAACATCTGGAGGGCCCCCGACCACGACGCCAGACTGCTTGCGACACACGGGGAAGCGACTTCCTGCCAGAGCGGAACGAGGCAGCGAAAGAAGGAGTGGACCTCCGGAGGGCGCTGGGCTCTAGCTCCCTATCAGCCCCAACTAGCAGCCGGGGATGATGGGAGTCGGAGTCCAACGGAAGCAAAAAAAAAGGACACTCCTTCTTGGCGCTCTACCTCAATGGATCTCCAGGGGCCAGAACTTGGGGAAAGCTGGGGTTTTTTTTGGGGGGGGGGACCACAAGCTCCATAATTCCCCCCTGGGGGATTTTGGGAGTTGTAGTCCACTGAGCAACATTCCCGGATCTGATTTGACAAAGAAGGGCCTTCTGGGGATGCCCCAACAAGGCCTGCCTGCTGTTCTATCTTTTTCCAGGAGTGGAAAGGTGGATTTCCCCCCCCTGCCATCACGCCTTCTTAAAGTTAAATTAACCAAGTCTCCAGGCCCCCCCCACCCCTCACGGTGGCCACCACCGCACCTAAGGACACAGGATCAAAGCCCTTCAGCGGTGGCAGGCATGCCACCAAAAGCCATGCCAGCTCCCCAAAGCAAAACAGAAACCTAGCCAGATGCATCCAGAAGAGAGATAAACACGAAATTTCCTCCCAGGCCCCCACTCCCTCAATGGAAACTCTTTACAGACTCCACCAGGAGGTCGAATAAGACAAGAATTCAGAAAGGGGACTTTTCCCAACTTCTGATCCCCCACCCGGTGAGGGTGTGAAAGGCCTTCGGAGAAAACAAAAGTCCCGTTTGAAGGCTGCTTTTCTTCTCCCTCCGAGATGACCTTCAGACGGCTCGCCAAAGGCCGCCGGGCAACGTCGGTGGAATGCGTGGCCCGGCTCTGACTCTGCTCTGACTCTGCACAGAGAGAGCACCCTGCTCCTTTTCTGGGGCTCCCCCATACCCTCGTGGGGGAGAGAACGGACCCATTAAGTTTGTTCCTGCCTCTCCTCAACCTGGGGGGAAAAACAAAACACCTTCTTCAATTAAAAAATACGTGCCATTTGGCAGACGTCTTTCAACAGAGAAAGTTTCCTTTAAGAAGACACGCTTTCCGAGTGTCCGTCTTTCAACAGAGAAAGTTTCCTTTAAGAAGACTCGCTTTCCGAGCATCCGTCATGAAAGTCAGAAACACTTGTTGAGATTTTTAAACAGCCAGATCCTGACTCCCCTACGCTGATGCGGAGAAACTCCATAAATGCTGTATGGTACAATATCCCCCGTACTGAGCCTATATTGAAACTTTGGAGAAGGATGGGCTGCTGGAGAAAGAGCTGTGAATGGGATATGGATGCAACCTTGACTTTTTCTTTCTTCCCTGGAGAGTCTCTGAACTGGTTTCAATTGGGTTGTGGCTTGACTACGATAAGCCACGGACTCGTCTTTTAATATTTTAACGTGATGCTCTTTGGAATCTGGGTTTTAATCATCCCACAAGCTGTCCTGCATCCCAGTCTTGGAAACAGGTGTTAAAAACCAACCAACCTTTGCTTCTGTTTAAGGTGATCCTGGATTAAGGAAACTCTACAATGGTTTGAAAGTAGCAATAACTAAAGAAGTAATAACTTAACAAGGAAGCCACCGGGGTCTTTCCAATTTGTGGGTTTGGCACTCTCAGACTTGCTTGCTAAAACATCATCCTCCCTGCTAATATTCGGCAAGTGCTTCTTTGGCTTCATAGGTATGTGGATTCTGCCTGGTGGGATGGAAAGGGAACGGCGAATAAATAGCACTGGGGTCCCCAGCGAGCCGACACGGCCTGTGATCTCAGCTGTAGCGATGTCCGGCCAACCAGGGCAGGTCTGCTTCCAGACTAACATGGGCTAGCCCGGACCTGACTTCTTCTCGTCAGCCCTGACTTCCATCTGTCTTGTGCGGTGGGGGTGGTGAGCGGAAGAGTCTGGCTTTTCCCAAATCTGCAAGGCCTATTTGTTCATCAGGATGAGTCATTGGTTCCTGCGCTTGGCTCCCTTGAGGGGACCCGGTCGGTAGCCAGAGGATGCTGGTGGGGGGGCCCTGGGACAGGGTGGAGAGGAGTGGGTGGAGAGGAAAGGAACGGGACTCTGCTTTCCCAGACGGAGGGCACGGAGGCGACGCAGGGGGTGCACCCTTGCCAACGGATTCATCCAGTCCCCGCTCTTGGCTCCCGTTCCACAATGGCAGGCCAGCGTCCCAGCACAAGAGGAACAGGGCCGCTAAACTACAGTTGTTCTGAAAATCCGTGTTTCTCAAGACAGGAATGTGGTCATCACTCGCTGCCTTTTGCATTACAGGGACACCAGTTCCGGAGGCGACGCAGGGGGTGCACCCTTGCCAACGGATTCATCCAGTCCCCGCTCTTGGCTCCCGTTCCACAATGGCAGGCCAGCGTCCCAGCACAAGAGGAACAGGGCCGCTAAACTACAGTTGTTCTGAAAATCCGTGTTTCTCAAGACAGGAATGTGGTCATCACTCCCTGCCTTTTGCATTACAGGGACACCAGTCCATACTGCTCTGAGGCGCTAGCCATGTTTTGATCCTGCACGGGTGGGGGGGCGTGATTCTCCAGATGCCAGCCCAACCTGCACACCGCCAAGCCAGGAGTTTTGTCCCTGCTCCTTGAAAGAATGGCCACTGGTACTTTTGTCTGAGCGGCCATCAAGTTTCAGAGGAGGAAACATCCTCTCTGGTGTCCTGATGCAGGAGAGTGTTGGGGGTTCGATTCCTCAACCAGGCTGCTTAACGTTAGTACCTGGCCTCACAGGGCCATCTTCTGCATTCTTTTGTTCCATTTATAAAATGAGGTCCGAGTCACCTTTGAACCCGGGAATGTTTCCCTTCCGGGTGAGTGAAATCCTGGGGTTGGCAACTCCCCCTCCAGCTCATCGGACGGGGTTTGGCAACTGGCGGACGTCTGCCCCGAGTCATCCTCCACCGAAGTGGTTTTTCGGGAGGATCCGGGAAGAATCTTGTGGGTGCAGCAGGCTGAGCTTGGCCAGGCTGGCTGGGGGATTCTGGGAGTTGGAGTCCAAAACCCAGAACTACCTGAGGCTTGGGTTTTATTCCTTCTTTGGCGCTTCTGCCCCCCCCCCGGGGCAGTTGCCGCAAGGCTGTAAGAATCCATCAGCCGTGTTGTTTGAAACTCTCCCTCTGTCTGCAAAAGGACGTTGCGGTGGTTTTATCGGGGATTTAGCCAGGGTCCTT